AATAACTGGAGGACTTTCTATATACTTTCAGATTTCCCGAGAGAGCCCTTCCCCAAAGCCTCTAAAAGCCACCGTCTTTCCTCTGCTAGATCCTCTCCCTTTCCAGCCCCAAGCTGCTCATCAGAACAGTAGGAACAGTTGAAGCTGGAAGGCTCTGGCGTTTCTGTTCTCTGCTCAACCCTCTGCATGAGGGCTTCCTTGATTCTTTTTCTCCAGGGAGGATCCTAAGGGGGAAAAATATCCAGGTTCAAGTGGGGCTTTAGTCCCTGTGGAAAAATCATTATTGGACACGACTGAGTGAGGGGCTGGCTCTGGTTTTGGTGAGCCATTGAGGTCAAAGCTGAGGTGTATCCCTACAAATTATTGACAAATTTCCCCTCAGAAGAAGATTAGGTTAAAGAGTAAGTTTGAGGTGCACAGAAGGGAACTTTGGGGGAAGGGAAACCAAAGAGAAATAACCCTTTTCCCTCTCACTGTTTCTGGGATTTCAGCGTAGAAACCTCTTAAGTTATAATGGTGTCGTCACTCTGTGATAGAAAATCATGTTACCACAAAATAGAGATGACAAAGGAAAGGTACAGAGTGTGGTGCTTTGGTGGTGTCTGGTTTGGTTTTAAATCAAATTCCACAATAAGACTAAAAAAAGCCAATTTAGATGCTTACCGCGAGTTGGTAGCTCTGCTTACATGTTCTCTCTTACTTGTTCCCGCTGGCGTTCGGTTTCTCAAAAAGTATGGGTGTAGGATCCAGAAAGGGGAAGAGCAGGTCAAGAAACATGCAAATATTGATGTTCTACCCTAGTGCCGCCAGAAACACCTTTCATCTTGGAGATGATAAAAAAAATTAACAGTCTCACTTAGAGTTACACAGCAAAAATTGGAAAGAAAATATAATCTAGACCTTCTAATCTCTCTTATTTCCTTCAGAAAGACTGCAGTAATTAAAGACTACTTTAAGTAGACCCAAGGGTAGCTTGAGTTTAAAAAAGAAAAAAAGACAAAAAGACAAAGAGGAAAGAAATAGTTTTAATTAATTGCTAGGTGAGTTATCTTAGAAGTAACCCATGGTAAGGCTGTTGCACCTGAAAGTGAGACAGTATCAGTGCTTCTTCAAAGAGTGATCTGAGCGTTTGTGTCCATCCACAAACTGTTACTGGCCTGCAAAGGCCCCTGTGGCCAGTCTTTCCTAAGAGGGCTGTGAAGGATGAGACTCTGGACTACAGATGAGCCTTTGTATGTAAATAGGATTTTGCATGAGTAGGGATATTTTTTAAGCTTAAACTGTTGAGGCAGATGTATAAAACAACTTGGATTTGAAACAAACAACAGATTTATTTCAACCTAGGCAACTGTTTGATTCCCCAGGACAGATACATGTGGCCCCTTTACTCCTATCACCCAAGAAAGTTGAGTTGATTTTGCCATAATCAGTCTGAAACTGCCTTTCTCCAAGTCTTTTTCCTTTGTGGCAGTTTTCTAAGTGGAGAGGAGGTATCTGAACCTGAGCCCCCTGCAGCTGGCATTTCAGTTACAGCTGGAGATCAGTGTCCACTGAGAGATAATCACTTATGTTTGCTTGGAAATAGTAAGCATTTCTCCCAATACAATTTTCTTCTTAATTAAGCTTTGCCTAGACTAATCCTAAAATACCCTTTCCTTTGTGGTTGGTGTAAAGAACTTTGGAGTTAGATAAACCTCTATTTGGCCCCCAAGGCTGTAACCTACTTACTGGTTGTTTTACTTCGGACATAGGACTCTCAGCTTCCAATTCTCATCAGAAAAATGGGGATAATCCTACCCATCTTGCCAAATTTGTGTAAGGGGTTACATGAAATAATTTATGCGGAACAGCCCACGGTGTGTTTGGCATAGCAGACTTCCATACATGTTAATTTCTTCTTCACTTTCATTTGGGCAACAGGGCCCAAGAAAGCTTGGGAAAAACATGGATGGTAGGTAAGGAAGGAAAAGACAGGAATAAAAGGAAATAGCCTTGGATTGTCAATCTCTAATCCTTTCAAATCAGCTGTTAGGACATTTGTATCCCAGCATGTGAAGTAATTTGCATTTTTCATGTTATTCCAGTTAGAGGAGAGTGAGCTGCTCTGACTTGTTGATCTGGAAACTGTGCCCAGTGGCCTGGTATCATGGGAGTGTGTCCAGTCACTTTGTGAGCTTCAGTTAAGCCATCCACAAGGACAAATTGTAACAGAGGTGTCCAGCTTTCAAAGGGTCACACTTCTAATTAATGCCCAAATAACTCTGAGCCTCATCCCCTCATGTGACTGCTAGAAGACCAGTCTCTGACTTCTCCTCCCAGGGATTTCTGGGAATTCCCAAGGAATGCTTAATCGAGCCAACCACTGTGGTAGTCCATCTTGGAGTTCCCAACAACAGAGAACAGACTGCAACATTTAACACAACTTTACTGAGGGAAATGTGGGAATAACAGAAAGAAATAACAATATCAAACTGGGCTCTCCAAAACTTCTCCTACCCTCACCTCCTACCCTCAATGCCTAGCCTTCTGCCATGTGGGAGGGACCAATTTTCCTGCAGACAACAGGAGTCCATTGACATGCCTCCCCTAGCCAGACCCCAAGGAAACCCGGTCTCGGGGCTATAATTCTACTCACAGTAAAGACAATCTTTTCACACAATCAGTGCCTTTTATATTCAGTGACTCATATGAGTCTTAACTTTCCCATTCCAGATTAAGATCTTGTTTTTATATTTATGTGATTTAAAAAATTATTGTTTATTTTTCCTTTAATGATCAATCTCAAATGTAATAAAATTTTCCTTCTAGAAAAAAAAATCTGTTGGCTTAGAAATAACACCTTCTCCCACCTCCACACCCCAATTCCTATTTCTAGCAATTAAGATTTCATGAAATGTTTGCCCCCAGTCTAAGCTGGTATACCTGATTACATAGGGCATTTACTGTTAAGAGCATATTTTTTGCAAATCCCAGGATTTTCACTTCTGTGTGCAGGCTTGCTCAGCAGACTGTTATCCTACAATATAGTTTTTAAGACAAATTACTATACCAGTAGATCATTCATTCAGTTCTGGCTATATGGCTGTATACTAACTGTGATAGTTCCTTTAGTATATTATCTTTAGTCCTCTCAATAATGCTGCCAGGTAGGACTCATTATTTTACATATGAGGAAATACTATGGCTGTGTATCTGGTTAGTGACAGAGCTGGCTTCCACTCAGGCGTGTACCTATAAGTCACCAGGCAGGTTGGAAAAGGTGATATAAGACTGAGCTAGGAAACTTTATGAAATTACTCCCAATTTCCTGCTTCCTCACAATATTCTTCCATGTACCCCTGATGGTTGTGAATCTCTGCAGAAGCCAGCTGTTTTTACTGATGGATAGTGTTGAACCATCCTCCAGTGTTTTAGGGTTAAAATTCAGCTTTTAGAACATGATACTTTCCTCATCTGCACCCTGAGTGCTCTGCCAGCACACCGTCTCCTGGGACTTGCCCCTCCTACAGGAACCTGTGATATTGCCACGATCTAATAACCACATGAGTAACTCCTGGCTCAGGAAAGAGCTTCCAGGATGCTTCTCCAGCAGCTGGACCAGTGTTCGTTCTGATCAGCCAGTGCCTCTGTTGGCAGGTTGGTGAAGTTTTTGAATATCTGCCCTGCCCTCGTTCCTTGTCGACTCCCTACCCATCACTGACAGTCTTTCAGGCCCAGTGCATTTCTCATTCCCATCCTACTCTCTGGAGCTTTTCCCTCCCATGGGGAGCTTCCACCTGCTCTGAATTCCTTTGAGTCTTATAGTCTGTTCCCACTCATCAGACATTTAATTGTATGTGGCTTTATTTTTTACACAACTTTTCCTTTGTGTGATGTACGTCTCCAGCTCTCTATAAATTCCTCAAGGTGGAGCATATCTAATACAGACTTTGTATCCTTCACAACATCTCACACAGTGCTGACTGGGGCTTCAAAGTCCCAAGACAGAATCTGATAGATCCTGGGGACTAGACCTTTCCCCTCAACAGCCCTGAAAGGGAGGAGAAGCTGTGGGGGGAGTCCAGTGAATCCCCAGTCTCAGTGATGAACACTCAGAAAATTAGAACCTCTGTCAACCTGGGCTTGAACTTTTCATTCTGCCTCTTAGGGGATATTGCTGCAGCCTGTCAGACTGGCATTTTCCCTAATAGCTTTCAAATGTCACATTCCAACATCTAGCATGCACTGTTTTTTTCCATCTCTTCATTTTTAGAATACTCAGAAAAGTTTTTGTGTTTTGGAAAGACCCCTCTGGCTCCCCAACCTGAATTTTCAGCCTTCAGAAGGGTGTTTCTTGAGGACAACTCCCCAGGGCACTGCTTGGAAAGGACGTGAGCAGCTCATCCTATCACATGTGTGTCATATGCTCTGTCGCAACCCAGTCATGCGTTGTGTGCAGAGGCCAACGTGACATTTAATTAGCAGGCAGAACGCTGGCAACACCAGTGCCTTTTCGAACTTTCACTTAGTAAACTTTTCTTTTAGTTTCTCTTTAGATTCTCTTGAAAATACAGGTGAAAGTTTGCACCTGACATAAGAGAAAAAACACAGGGCGTTCATATAAAATTTTTGCCCCAAATAGCATTATATTTGTTATTTGTGTGACCTTTTGATTTTCAATAGACAGATAATGAAATTCTAAAATTTCAAAATATTTTTTGAAAAATCTTTTTATTCTAAATTGAACTTAATTTTTTTTTTAAAGATTTTATTTTTTCCTTTTTCTCCCCAAAGCCCCCCAGTACATAGTTGTGTATTTTAGTTGTGGGTCCTTCTATCTGTGGCATGTGGGACGCCGCCTCAGCATGGCTTGACAAGGAATGCCATGTCTGCACCCAGGATTCAAGCCGGCAAAACCCCAGGCCGCTGAAGCAGAGCACACGAACTCAGCCACGGGGCTGGCCCCCTTGAACTTAAATTTAATAATTTAACTTAAAACATTAAGTTTAAAGATTGCAGATTAAAAATGTTAAATGTGTTTTTTAAAACCTTTCAAATACAGGAAGAATATGAAGAAAATAAAAATTACCCATAATCTCGTTACATCATTAGAGGTAATTACTCTTATTACCATTCTAATTTTATAGTTGAGAAAGCAAAGGAGAGGAAGAAAGGGAAAAAGGAAGGAGTGTGAGCTTTTAGATTTTCTTCTCAAACATGTAAAAAAAGATTCTGTGGAAGTAATACCCAAAATTTTTGAAAGAAATGTCGGATATTCTTATTCCTAATAGCATGTATATTGCCAGGAGTACCACTGCTGGTTCTGAACATCAGTGTTTCAATAATCAATAAGCTTTACAAAGCTCTGGTTTCCATATCACAGAAAACAAATATTTAAAGCAATACATATATATATATATATATATATTTAAATACGGAATGCTTTGTGAATTTGCATGTCATCCTTGTGCAGGAGCCATGTTAATCTTCTCTGTATTGTTCCAGTTTTAGTGTATGTTCTGCCAAAATGAGCACTTATAATATTTTACAAAAGTAAACTACATTACAAAAACTCTCGTGAAACAGAAAAGAAGGGGAAGTTACACACAACCCCACAACTTTAACAAAACCCTGTTAATATTTTAGTATATTTCTTTCCAGACTTTGTCCCACTCTCCCTTTTTTATTATTTATTTATTTGGACATAACATTGTAATTGAAAGGAAACCATTATTATAAGACCTCTCACATCATTGCCCCACTCTGATTCTCTCTCCGTCTCTATTTTTCACCTTTGCTTATTATCCTCAGGCCTCTAGTGCTTTTATAACATGTTGGATATGGAGAAATGGCTTCGGTATCAGTTAGTTTAGATTTGAATCCTGGCCCTACTAACTTGGGAAAATTACTGAGCAACTTTGTCTCAATTTTCTCATCTGACCCTGAGGATAGCACCCTCTCCACCCATCTGTGAGCATGAAGAGAGATAACATATGTAAATTGATGACACAGTGAGGAGCTCAGACTAAGTGCTCAATATATACAAACTCTTTTTTTTTTGCTTAAAATTATAATTATTTTTCTCTATAATGCAAACACAAATCACTATGACTAACTCACTGTCATTTTCTTTGACAGGTTATTTCCAGTTTGGGGTCATGTAGATAATACTGTAATTAATGTATTTTTTTCATAGAATATGAGTTTCACTTCAGTCTATGGATTTCCTTTAGAAAAATCATTGGAATGGTATTTTTGGGTAAAAGTTTGAGCCTTGACATGGTTCTTGCAACATATGCAAGTATATTTTTTTGAGTTAATTTTTTTTTAACTTGAGTAATTTGAGCATAGAGTTTTGTACCTTGCTTTTTTCTTTCAATGTTATGGCAAAGCTTTTTTTTTTTTATCATATAATTATATTTCCAATGAAACTCTCCATGTCTTTAGCTTTTTCTGTATTTTTGGATTATTTCCTTAGAGTAGATTCCTAGAAGTAGAATTACTTGAAGAAATGTATGACAAATTGTATGGCCTCTGATCTACAAACAAATCACCTTCCAAAAAAAATTGTACTGATTTATATGGCCACTAACAGTTTATGAGTCTACCAATTTAACAACATGTTCTGGAGCATTAAGTGTTATAATTTTAAAGCTTTTGCCAATGTAATGATTGAAAAGGCCTACTTAAGGTTTGTTTTGATTTAAATTTTAAATTACCTGTAAGTTGAGCATTTTATTTTCTGAATTTTAAAGCAAGGGGCACTGAGACACTGGGAAGTTGCCTGATGTGACCAGCGAGCAGCCTCATTATATTCCTCTTTGATCTGTACAACTCAACATTCCGGGCATTAGTTGCTTCCTCCGTATTTCTTGCAGCTGTTCTGTTTTAAGACGGAATTCTATTTTTATAGAACAAACAGAACTGAGCAGAAAATGTGCTACTCTCTTTGAGTTTACTTCTCTTAAGAGGAGCCTGCTGTTGAGAATACACAGTTACAGACAAGATACATGATAGGAGGCAGCTGATGACAACCATGAGCCTCCTTATAGGAAAAGAGTTTCTTGTTGGCATCATCAAGGTCTTATCTTAAAGGTCCAGAAAATTGATTCTGTCAGTACATTCAGAATTAGACTTAAAAACTGGATGCTAGCCAAACTCCTAAAAGACTTTTCTATTACAAGAAATGCCATTAACATGCAGATCAGAAGTTGCTCCAGAACATTCTATTCCTGTAAAAATGTCTATATGAGAAGTCAAATTATAATCAGGTTTCTCAATAACCACAGAATCAGGATGGGGTGGGGAAGGGGGATGGTGCCTGAAATGATTTTTAATGGCGAATGTCATCAAGCTATGTGAATCTGATGCATTCATCACCACTGGAGGGACAGACCTGACCAGTGGTAGGAATGCATGGGCCGAAGGGACAGGGACCCCTCTCCATTGGATATGCTTGGGATTCACGAACACATTTTTCCATGTTGGCCTCTTTTTCCTAGACTCCATGCACATTGCCTTCAATTCAATTCCACAGTATTCATTAAGCATCTTCTATGTGCCAATCTTTGTATTGGATTCTGGGCCTACATAAATGAATAAAAACCTAGTTCCTGCTCCTAGGTACCTCACAGACTTTTGGAGAAAACCAAACACATACATAATTACAACATACCTTATGATGAAAGCTTGACTGTGTTACAGGTCTAGGACCTCTGGGCTCTTGTCACCATGGCTGGCTTGCAGAATCTTATCTAGCTCTGCTGTGTGATGTGAGCAATTTATCTAATGTCACTGGGATTTAGTTTGCTGTTTTGTAAAATGGAGAAAATAATAGTCCCTACTTCATTGAATTGTGAAGTTTAAATGAGATGATACATGTAAAGCAATTAGAACAATGTCTGGCACATCGTATGAAAGTTAGCTATAATGATAAACTTAATTAACCTCATGATGGCTACCAGCAATATGACATGGGCAGTCTAATTCTTCAAACTCAACACAAGGAGGAACATATATTCCAAACTCTTCTCAGCACTTTGACACATCTATATGCATGACAGGTAGGAAGTATATTATCAGGAAAGGTGGGACAATCAACTTCTGAAAAATGTGACATTTTTGTTTCAAATTTGGAAGTATTTCTCCTCTGGTATTTCATACAATAGTGATATTTTTCTTAGAGTAGGCTACTGACATCTTGTGCTATACATTCCAGGAAAAGTCCACAGATCCATTTGGGCGCTTCCAACACCTCAGCACAAAGAATATCACTTTGACTTTTGTGCATCTGTCCCACGTCCAGCAGACACCAGGGCTACATTCATCTTTGGCTTCCCAGCCTAGTTGTTAACTGCTTGAAGATAAAGACTGTGACTTAGCCACCTAAAATTCCCAGCCTCTAACACAGGGACTTGTGGATAGTAAGAGCTCACCAATTGTTGCCTGATCAAATAAATGACTTTGACAATGAATATTGGCGTCTGCCTCTCCAGCATCCATTCCTATTTTTGAAACTTTCCATAATCCCCACTTTCAGTTCACATGTTCTGAGTGGAGCACCAAACTTAAGTCATCATTCACACGTTCTTCCTTTTTCTTCCAATAATCGGCTTAGGAGAGGGTATATGACATAAGCTTGTCCAGAGTTTAACCCCTGGATTTTGATGAGAATGCTAGAAAAAATACCCTGGCTATTTTGTCTTGTGGGTTTGAACATGGAAGGTTTAGTAACTACTGGCAACCATCTTGTGATCACGAGGGGAGGCCGTGTTTGAAAATAGAATCAACAAAAAGGAAGCAAAGTGAAGAGATGGTAGAGACGATCTGGATCCTGAAGACATTGTTAGAGGCCTGGACCCAGCTGCACCTTTGGCTGTTAAGTTGCTTAAGCCAATCCAAGCTGTTTTTTAAAAAAAATTTAAGCCAGTTTATATCAGGTCTTCTCTCACTTGCAACCAAATGATAAAACTGATTCAACTTGTTCTACAAAAGGCATTTAAAAATAAACTTATTTGTCCTATGCTCATGACCAAAGCAGTTCCTAACTGCTATTTTCTTGTTCCATTAATCAATAAACATATATTAGGCCCTTGTTACATGGTCAGATGCCACAAAGTTTAAGAAAGTTTCTTGTGCTACAGTCTAATTGGAATTCATAGTCTCTGTATTTTCCTCTTTTAAGGAATACATTTCCATTTACCTAGAAAAGTTTTGATTCAGGAATGAGTTGGTTATTTACCTCCTGTTCTCAGTTCCAAGACTCCCTTCCTCTGCTCCGCTCTTTCGTGCTGGGGCTGGGATTCGGCAGATCTCATTGACCATCCTCCCTTGCCAGCTAGCTTTCTGGTAAGTTCAATAAATGGGAAACCCTAGGGCACCGGAATGTGGGAGGAGAATTCCTTCCTGTTTTCAGTTCCTGAATGTAGCTGCAGCCCACAGAAAGGTAGCTGCTCTCTGCAGCTCTAATATTTAGGTTTCCTTAGTATCCACTTTTTGCTCTTTCTGCCTTCTAATATCTTTATAACCAATTCCTGATATTAAATCCACTCTGCTTTCCTGACTGGACCCTGACTGATATGGTACTTGATGCTAGGAGTGGTACTAGGAAGCAGACTCTCAAATACAGGATTCTGGAATTGATTTGCTTTGAACTCAGAGCTGAACTTTTTGCTAATGGAAAATGGGAATGGTAATCTATGGCATGCAATGGTATCACAATTCATTAAATTATCATCTATTCTTGCTAGGTTTGAGTGCCAATGGGAGGAAATCTTTTGGACATCAATTAACTGCTGCATTTGATCATTATGGTTGTAGAGATGATTACAAGGAATGTAAGGTGAGATGGCTGCTTCTGATTGCACTATAGTACTTGCAGGAAGACAATAACAAGCTCCAAGCTTTCAGCTCAGATCATCTTCAGGGCATGAGAGGGCTTCTATGTTTGTTTGTTTTTTTTTGAGGAAGATTAGCCCTGAGCTAACTGCTGCTAATCCTCCTCTTTTTGCTGAAGACTGGCCCTGAGCTAACATCCATGCCCAACTTCCTCTACTTTATATGTGAGACGCCTACCACAGCATGGCGTGCCAAGCTGTTCCATGTCCACACCCGGGATCCAAAGCAGTGAACCCCGGGCTGCCAAGATGTGGAATGTGCACACTTAACCATTGTGCCACCAGGCCGGCCCTCAGAGGGCTTCTAAGGCTGCCTAAAAGTAACTCTTATTCCTTCTACTTACAAGACAGACATGTCTAAAAAATCAGATCCAAATCAAGCATTCACAGACTGGCCAAGTCTCAAATGTGAAAGTTCAGGCAGTAATTTGGAAAGGATAGGACTCTGAGACTAGGAATGGGAACATTCAAGTGGGCTTGGATGAAGCTGAGAATCTTGAACACCCCAAGTTCCCTGAGCTTCCCTTGATAGTGGAAGAAGTCTCCCATTTCCTATTTGATGATACTAGCCTTCCTTTGCTTGGCAACCTGTAATAACCACATAGGAGGCAATTGCCTTGCACGGGGATCCCTATTATTTTTAAGCTCCACTGCTCCTAACACTCATGGCCTTCAGGCTTTTGTCTAGAGTCAGATCTGAGCATATTCATGGGGAGAAGGGCAGAGTCTGGCTCAGGAAGAAAAGGCTTATACTTCGAAAGAATCACAAGATTTTATTAAATTGATATTAGAAGAAACCTAGCTAATATATATGGGGATGGATTCTAACGGTATTAGACCAAGGAGAACAGAATGTAACATTGGGTTGGGGCCAAATTTAGGTAGCCCTGATATAATACAATTTCCATAGATTTTTGGACTTAAGTCTATGGTAGACTGTTATAGGAATACTCCCCAGGTAATCACACCACTTTGTATATCACACCCTCATGTAATCCTCTTCCACATCGATTTTTGGCATGGCCATATGACTTGCTTTGGCAAATGTGATGCAATGGAAACCTGAAAAGCGCTCGTACATTGGGGCTTACCCTCTCTTTTGCTGTTTTTGGACCAGCTGCCATGTTGGAGAAGCATGGACTAACCTGCTGGAGGAAACTTGACCCAAGCAACAGCCAGCACTGATTCCAAGACACATGAATGAGGCCATCAAGGACCAGCATCCTCTGGCAATCTGTTGACTGACTGCAAACGCATGAGTGAGACCAGCTCACCATGGGAAGCAGAAATGAATCGCCCCAGCTGAGCCCAGCCCAAATTGCTAACTTACAAAATCAAGAAAACATAAATGATAAACATAAGCCATTAAGTTTTGTTATACAGCAAAAGCTAGCTGAAACAAATATATTAACTTCAATAGCTGAGAGTTTCTCTATTTGCTTAGTTGGTTGACTGAAACCTGTGCTCAACAGTAGGCTACATTCAATGATGTTGAGCTGATAGAATTTCTCCACAATAATGTACAGGAAGGATTCTAAAGGCTTAGGGAGGTAAGAATAATGGAGTAATTTATCACATGTAACCTGTGCATCTTTCCTCACCTTGAAAGGATCCAAGAAATATTCCCTTCACTAGAGCATTGAGAAATGCATTAGTGAGGGAGCCCCAGCAACCCTGAATACCCCCAGGTGGCTGTTTTCTGTAGGCCAAGGATGAGGGTGGGAAATGCAGCCACTGAGATGGGCTTCTTGATTCAATCAGGATGATGAGATCCCAGAGTGGCAATAGAATTTTTTACTCATAGGAATCTTTGGTGGTTGGCCCTAAGAATTAAATAGATGGCCAGCCTACTAAAGCATTGCTTGATTTATATAATAGAGATCTGACTTGAGTTCCCACAACTGAGAATCACAGCTTCTTCCCCGATTCCTAGACCTTACCAGTTCATTGATCTGAAGCTCCTGGTTGAAGAGAAAAACTGGACCCCTTGAGAAAGAACCCTGTAACAATGCCACAACTACTTTCTGTAGATCTTCCTCCATGCTATCCCAAAAGGGACTTGAAATCATTTACTAAGATGTCTGTGTATGGAGGAAATGGAAATACCCAGATTTTTCAGGGATTCCTAAACATTGCTTTGAAATGACACTAATCCTTAGGAACCCCAAATAGCCCTGTGGTCCACTAGTGAAAATAGGTGCTTATAGTGGTCAGGTGATAAAAAGAATTTGGGCCAATTCCATCTCATCATGGATCTGTGACCCACGCAGCCATTAAAAATTATACTTAGGAAGATTAGTCAACAACATGGGTGTAAGCTTATAATCCTATGACAAATTTGAAAAAAGGATAGAAAATTACATGTTATAACTCTAGCTGAAGTTATAGATGTGTCTAGACAAAGAACAAATGCTAACAGCAAAAATGAAAATACTTGTGTTGGACGATGAGGTCATAGGTGATTTTTGTTTCATCTTTCTCAATTCCTCAAACTCTCCCAAATGCTATTTTTTGCTTCCTTTGTAAAAGGTACTTTTTTTTTTAAAGACTTAGAACTTATCCAACTCTTTTGTTTTAAGGATTGCAATTATATACTTTTTATTCAATCATGTTAAGGTCATAAAAAGTAAGAATGTTAAGTGTAGCCTTCTCTTCAGTATTACAGTGAGTCTCAGAGACAATCACGCACGGGGCACCTATCACATAAAGAGGCTGCAGGACTGACAAAATCCTACTCTCTCCCTGCCCTCCACAAGTTTACAGTCTAAGGGGCATGTGCTCAAATCCTCATGATTCAAAACTGAGAAAGATAACTGCTTCAGAGAGGGACAAAGAAAGCATTGCTCTGCCCAAAGTAAAGAGAGCTCATATTTAATTGGAGAAAATCAGAGAATATTCATGAGCAGAGCTGGCATCTGAGGATGAATAGGATTTTCCGGGGAGAATTGAGGTCCCAGAAAGGACGTGTCCCAGAAAGGAGGTGTTCTGGGTGGAGGCGACAGTATAAACCATACTTGAGGACTGGTGAGCCCTTTGACTTTGCTGAAGAATGTACGGGAGAGTCTAGGGGACACGAAACCCATGCTGATAGACCTCAGCTGGGAATTCCTTGGAGCATAGCTCACTGCTCCTTTAGCAGTAGGATTTAGGAGAAATATCCTGCAGACAGATTAGCTTGATAGTGTCTGGGCACTGACTATTTGGCAAGGGCTAGTGGCTAGTACATAGGGGGATTACCGATGATACTTGATATTTATCAGGTATTTACCATGTGCCTGATGCACTAAGTGCCTGATAAAGGAAGGTACTAAATACCTTTCTTACATTATTCATTTTTTAGATAAGGAAACTGATGCTTAGAGAGATCAACTAACATATCCAAAGTTGTGTAACTCATATATAATTGAGTTGGGGTTGGAATCTCCGACATCAGAGCCTGCACTCCCCCACCCTCCCACAGTGCCTCTTTGGAAAGAGTAAAAGTGAAATTAATCCTCGAGCAGCAAAAGAGACCACAAGGCACATGTAACTGGTAAAGTCCCCACTTAAAGTCGCATCCCGTGGGAAATCAGGGCACGTTACAGGGTAGAATGAATATGGTTTCATCACCCTAACTTCATCCCTTCCAAGCTAAAGAGGCAGTGTTAACCAAATTTCTTAACTTCTATTCTTCAGTTTCCTTATCTTTAAAATGGAGACATAAATAGTGCCTTTTTTCAGAGGGTTTTGAGAGAATTCATTCCAACAATATGTATAAAATGCTAAACAATATGGGGCATATAGTGAGTACTTGATAAATGTTAGATGTTAGGATGGTATGCTGTAGTATAGAACATTTCTTACGTTAGGACACACTGCTTTAGGGTCTTCTTCCCTGAAGAAGCCTAAATCTCAGGATACTGGGGCTTGGGAGCCCTGTCCCTATTTGGTTTTCTAGAAAATAGCCCAAATCTAGGACCAAAGGTGGTATTTTGACAGAAGCCATTATGCCACCAGGTTCCTAATAGAGTCAAACACCACCACCCAGTATGCCAATCACACATCTTGGGGGAGGTGGGGCCCCACATAGGTGGGCTTGCTTCTTTGGGGAGGAGGCCTTGTCTGCCTGCCCTGATCTCCACAGCATTCGAAGGTGCTATTCCTCCAGCAGGGACCCCAGACCAACACATGGGACCTGGGAAACCGCCCTGGGACCCCACTCTTCTGAAGAGGGCATCAAATTGTGCCTCAAAGTCTTTCAAACTTGTGGGAGTCAACTGGCTTGATGGCATATTAAACTTACTGACCTGGATGGGCCTTGAGGAAACCACTTAGCCAAAAGTAGAACATCTGGAAGACTTTGAAGAATAAACTATTAAGTTTTATTCTTCAGAGGCATTCTTTGATTTGTATAGACCGAGAATTGAGAAACTGGGATGTCGTATAATTTGTCTGTTACTCATTTTCACACCCCTTCATTCCCAACCCCAAATTCTTTTTAGTTTGAGCACCAGTTAAAGAGTTTGCTTTAGGCCCACTAAGCTAAGACTCTGTTGTACTTGGTAATGTACACATTTGGATAGTTTATGGGTCAACTCATGTCCTGAGATTCGTGGCCCCAGCACAAAGACCAAATTTAACGTGATTAACCTGTTGTTGCTGAGTCCAGTTACCCTCCACTTTGACGCACATGTAATGGGATCCCACAGGATTTCTGTAATACCAACCATCAAAGACCTTGACTAGAGAGTATCACTGTATCACAGACGTGGAAACTGAGTCACTGAAAAGTTAAGTTTAAAGTCATATAGAGAACCAGGAAAGGAGCCCTAGTTTGGGACTTTGACCATTATGACTACTTATCTGAAATCTTTGCAGGCACAGCATTAAGAATGCCAAAATTTTTTAATGTATATCATTGATTTCTGAAATTAAAAAAACAGAATTTTTTGAAGGAAAGATGTAGTTTAAAAAAACACCATTCAACACAGTGCTATTACAGTTTACAATAAATGCTTCGTGATTTGGACCTCACAAAAATACTCAACGGCTTTTCTCCACATCTTGTAGTTGGCCCTTCTGTGTCCTTAAATGCTTTCTGTTAATTAGAACTCCTCAGATGCTTTCAAGATTCCAGTAAACCATAATACATGTCAATTATGGCTTGACTTTGTATCAAGCCCTATCTGTGAGCTCATAGTCTCAATAGGCTTTTCCAGTATCCAGAGGGAACTATGGATAATTATTAGCCTATTGGCAATCTGTCCATTTCTGTAACTGGAAATTTACACTCATCTCTGCTTCTGGAAATCATTTTGGAACCTTAAAGGGAAATAATTCCCTTTGTTTTCAGTCTGGCAGCAAGAAGGAGCCTCAGGACACTCACAGGGGCCTAGGACCCAGTATGGTCATTTCTAAAGTGCAATAGTGCTTGCTTCAGCCACAGGCTGCAGACATGAGGGGTCGGATCTGTAAAGGGGCGGGCTGCCTGACTTCCTTTGAGCACACCATGGCCAGGTGCTGCCTAGTCTTGCTGCAGTCTCCAGATTAAAGTGCTGGGTCATCCAAAGGCATTTGAAAAGTACAAACAAGAAGCTCTGCAGGCCAAAGTATTCTTGTTCAGAGTCCAGAGGCTTCTTGAGGATATCCCATCAGGTCACCCCAGCTCCTGAGACCGCAGGTTCAAATCTGGGAAGAAAAGTCCACAAATAGGAAAATCACTCTTCTGATTAGAAGATACATAACTTCTCAAAATAAGATTGGAGTGAGAAACTACTTCAGAAAAAAAGCTCATCTATCTGGAGGCAGCATGGTTCAAAACCTTTCTTTTTACCCTCTCTACCATTGCTCTAGTCCGTCTTCAGCCTCTCTCTCCAGACCTATCGCAGGAGCCTTCTCTCCTGCATCCTCTGGGCTGCTGACAGTTCAGTAATCCTGGACCACAGTTCCTAGGGCTCTCTCTTCAAAACCTTTTATAGTTCCCCTTTGTGGCAGATATTTCCATTTATTCCTGCAGATGCATTCTCCACCCTGTTCTGCCCTGTTCATGACCCAGGGGAATAACATTGTGGACTGCATCATTGGGCTCTCTTCCCTCTGGCTTCCATTCCCTTCTTACCCTCCACCTGGGGGAGAGAGGCGATTGCAGTGAGTAGGGGAGTAAGGTTGGGGTAACTATTCCTCAGCAACCTCCCAGACAGGTTGCAGCTTGACTTTATCCCTCTGTTAAATGTCACAGCTCCTTGTGGGCTCCCTTTCCTATTGCTGTTTTCACCAGAGTTCTGGTAACCGTTCCCTTCCCTTTCCCCTTCAGGCCTAGGCGTGAGAGCACTGTCTCAGTGTTTGCTAGTCCCAGGGTGCTGGTTTCCCTTAACCCTGCTCATATCTTTGAAAATAGTGAAAACTTGTAAACTTGCCTCATCACCCCTTCTGAGTATGTGCTCTGTTTCCTGCTGGGACCTGATTGAGGCACCCATGCCTGGTGAGTAAAATCTAATCTCCTTGACTTGGAATTCATGGCTCGTGATGGGGCCCCCAACTGTCTTTCCCCTTATCTCATACCTGACTCTTTCCAAACTAGGATCTCCTGCCTTTTCCTACAGATGCCCCACCTCTTCCTGCCTCTCTGCCTTTCCTCTCTATCTAGAATAGTCTGTTATTTCTGTTTCTGTCTGGTTCAATGTCACATCCTCCATGAAACCTTTCCTTTTCCCTGATTATCCCCAGCCTAAAGTGATATTTTTTTCCCCATCTCTGAGCTTTCATGTGCTATTTATACGACTTATAAAGCCATCGAAAACTATAAAAAATACACAGACTTCTCACATCATTAAAAATTCATAAGCCCAGGAGAGTGAGACTGTTACTGACTCTCCCAGAGGCCCTCGACTCCCTCCTGGGACAGCGGTGCTCTGAGCAGAAAGGAAGTTTGGCATGGAATGGGCATTTCTAGGGATTCTGAAGATAGGTAAATAAGGTGGGTTTTGGAATAAAGTGATAATTTGAGAGCTACATGATTTTCCAAATATGTTCCGAGAAGCACAAGATAGCTTAGAAGCCTTTGCAGGGACCTATGGTAGAGTGGTTCATTCCACCACTGTTTTAATCTGTTTCTGTGAGATGATAGAAAAATATACATATTGGTCTCTGCTCCTGCTTCCTGGAATAGAATTCCAAAAACCTTTGTAATTTCCTAAGTGATAAAAGCAATAGGAGGATCTTTTGTTCTGATATTTGGTCTATGACTCTGGTTCCTGTCACAGAGCTCCTAAATCTATTGGAATTTCCTGGCTGATAACAGTGTCTTTTGCTCTAATGAGGTGATTCTTTGTGTGTGTGTGTGTGTGTGTGTGTGTGTGTGAGGAAGCCTTACCTTGAGCTAACATCTGTTATAAATCCTCCTTTTTTTTTCTTGGCTTGAGGAAGATTAGCCCTCAGCTAGCATCTGTGCCAATCTTCCTCTACTTTATATGTGGGATGCCTCCTCAGCATGGCTGATGAGTGGAGTAGGTCTGCACCCGGGATCCAAACCTGTGAACGTGGGACACAGAAGTGGAGCGTGTGGAACTTTAACCAGTTGGCCATGGGGCTGGCTCCCTAATGAGGTGATTCTTGATGGGCTTCTGGATGAGGGCTGGTCACTGGAAAGTCTAAGCTACAATTAGAAGCTTGGTATTTTCAGCCCCACTCCCAATTCTCCAGAGAAAGGAGAGGGGTTAAAAATGGAGTTAATGGTTGGACATGCCTAGGTGATAAAGCATCCATAAAAATCCCCAAAGTAGGGGTTTGGAAAGCTTTTGGGTTGGTGAACACATGGAGGTGCTGGAAGAGTGGTGCATGGGGAGAGCATGGAAGCTTGAAACCCCTTCCCACATATTCATTTCTTCCATCTGCAAGTTCCTCTGTATCCTTTATCATATCCTTTTATATAATAAACTGGTAAACAGTAAGTAAACCATTTTCCTGAGCTCTGTGAACCACTCTAGCAAATTAATTGAACCTGAGGAGGGGATCATGGGAACCTCAGATTTATAGCCAATTGGTCAGAAGCACAGGTGACAACCTGGACTTGCCATTGGCATCTGAAGTCGGGGGGTGGGCAGTCTTATGGGAAGACTTTAACTGTGGGATCTCATGCTATCTGCAGATAGAGAGTGTCAGAATTGAGTTAAATTGTAGGACAATTTAACACCCTGCTGGTGTTGCAGAGAATTTCTTGGTGGGAAAAACCCTCATGCCTCTGGTGTCAGAAGTATTGTGAGTGTGGTAGTAGTGTGAGAGTAAAGGAGAAACACAGGAGGTGGACTGAAGTTTTTCCTACTCAGTATATATAGGTATTTTGTCTAATATTTCCTTTATAAAAGGGTTATAATGGCAAAAAAGAAAAAAAAAGATCAGAAACCACTGGAATAGGAAAGGGGAAAGGAGATCCCTCCATGGTGCCATGCTGATGTTGTGGTCAGTTCTCAGTGGACATTCTTAAGGGGAAGACAAGAGACTCATGGAAACAAAATAAAACAGAAAGACATACAGATGGGATCAATTGCTAGGGGGTATATAGAGAGTTGGCCTCTTTTAATTTTAACCAAATTATGCCAATGAAAACAGTTTTTTCACTATCTTGTCTCCAATACTTGATGTAAGAATCTTAGCTGACTAGTGTCCTTAATTCATCCTTATAATTCCCACACAGCCTACCTGACACAGAGTCTTGCAGATAGCAGCCACTTAATACATGTTTGAAAGTGAATGAATAAATAGCACTATACTGGAATCACAAGACCTTTTATTTTTCTGTCATTATTTCATTCAAGAAAGTCACTTAAGATCCCTTAGCCCAAGTCTCACCATCTCTAAAATGAGGAAGTCAAGTTACGTGGTCTATAAGCTCTCAGAAACCATGGCTTGATGACTAGAATAACTCTTTTTAAAGGAAGCATGATAAATATCTATGGTATCAGAATCCACTCCCAAAGTTATACTGGTTGACAACTTCATTGCCTGCATAAAAGCAAGAAGCCATGGGCCCAAATAGCAGCACAATCAAGTAAGGTTAGCTGGAAGAAGAACTTCCACAAACTGAAAGGACAGTGTGCCAGACACAAGGACTCAGGCAGTTTCAACTCTAGCTCTAGTTCCACCACTAAGTTATAAGATGACCTTGTGCAAGTCACCTCATCTCTTACATCCTTGGAGTATGCATTCACCCCTTCTAGGCTGGCAGAACTGGGAATCTCTGAAAGGCAACTAAGACATTGATATATGTCCTTGAAAGAGGGTATAGCATTTTCCTCCCTAAAGTTGACGAGGACCCAATGAAGGATCCTATATAATGCATTTGACTGCTGGGATTAGAGAGGTGAGTGGGGCATGGTTAAAATTGCTTCAGAAAGTATCATTATCCATCTAACAAGCACCCCTGGGTACTTACAAGTGGTACATTGGGAAATTTAAAAATGCATTAAAGTACAAAAAAAAAAATCAGGAAACATAAAGGAAGAAAACAATACAAGTTTCCACAACATAAAGACAATGATTGTGGGCATTTTAATGATTTTACTTCACTTTTTTTGGGAGAAAGGGAGTGTGGTGGATATATTAAAAACATTTTTAAATAGAGAACTAATGATATGGTAAGTATATTTGGGAGTTTTTGTCATAAATGGATGTTAAATCTTGTCAAATGCTTTCTCTGCATCTATTGAGGTGTTCATGTGATTTTTCTTCTTCATTGGTGTATCATATTGATTGATTTGAGGATGTTGAACCATCCCTGTGTCCCTGAAATAAATCCCACTTGATTGTGGTGTATGATCCTTTTAATGTATTGTTGTACTTGATTTGTTAGCATTTTGTTGAGGATTTTTGCATCTATGTTCATCAGTGATGTTGGCCTGTAATTTTCCTTTTTTGTGTTGTCCTTATCTAGTTTTGGTATCAAGGTAATGTTGGCTTAATTAAATAAGTTAGGAAGTGTCCCATTCTTTTCAATTTTTTGGAAGAGTTTGAGAAGGATAGGTATTAAATCTTCTTTGAATGTTTGTTAGAATTCACCGGAGAAGTTGTCCGGTCCTGGACTTCTATATTTTAAGAGGTTTTTGATTACAGTTTCAATCTCTTTACTTGTTACTGGTCTATTCAGATTGTCTTATTTCTTCTTGATTCAGTTTTTGGAGGTTGTATGATTCTAAGAATTTATCTATTTCTTCTAGGTTATCCAATTTGTTGGCACATAGTTTTTCAAAGTATTCGTTTATAGTCCTTTGTGTTTCTGTGATATACATTGTAATTTCTCCCCTTTCATTTCTGATTTTATTTATTTGAGCCTTCTCTCCTTTTTTCTTCATAGGTCTAGCTAAAGGTTTGTCAATTTTGTTTATCTTTTCAAAGAATCAGCTCTTAGTTTCATTGATCCTTTCTATTGTCTTTTTAGTCTATTTTATTTCTTTCCAGTCTGATTTTTATTATTTCCTCCCTTCTACTGACTTTGGGCTTCATTTGTTATTCTTCTCTAGTTCTTTCAGATGTGGTATTAGAATATTTATTTGACATTTTTCTTGTTTCTTGAGGTAGGCCTGTATTGCTATATACGTCCCTCTTAGTACTGCTTTTGCTGTATCCCATAAGTTTTGGTATGTTGTGTTTTCATTTTCATTTGTCTCTATGTTTTTTTTTTTTAATTTCTCCTT